GAGTATTCACGTACGCTTCTACCACTCGTACAAGCATGACAAGCCATTTTTAATAAGAACTGGCATAATCTGTAGCTTGTTGGATAGAGCGGGAAATCCGATCGCGCGCAGACTTTGCGAGCAGTTTCGTAAAGGCCGTTTCACTTGGTGATCTACCATTTTCCGGTGATCATTGTTGATTTCTACGGGCGAAAATCTTGTATATAAATGTGTGTGATCAGTATCAGGGATTCATTCTTCTTTCCTTCGTTCTCTTCTCGTCAGTGTGTCAACAAAGCTTTCGTCATGTCATCGGTGTCTCAGTGCAGTTCAACCGAGAAGAGGCAGCATCAGGGGAGTAAAAGCGGGCCGCGAGGAGTCTTGCCGGGGCACAATTCGCCGGAGCTAAGCAAGGCACACCTAGCAAGCCTGTGGTGAGCGAAATGTGTATTGGAATTTCAGGAGCAAATAAGTAATAGCCGAACGCTGCTCGGTAAAACAGAGGACAGCAAAAGACCTCCGACAGCGGCAGCTGAAGAACAAACTGTCACGAAAGCGTTCCACTGGGCGACCATCCTGGATTTGGTAACCGATATACAGATGACCAGTATCGGGTTCCCGATACCGACTGCAGCGAATGGAAGGACACTCGTTGGCGGTCGGTTTGCGTTGGACGCTCAACAAGCATCACTGGTTCTTATGGAGGGTGAAATCCTTGCCAATCGGTAGGTGAATTTTCTCCTGTATTTTCGCACTTCTTTCAAATTTTCACTATACCAAGAATAGTTGCCGATAAACAGTCTGGCAATCACGTAATAGTTGATCACGAGTAAATATTCTTCTTTCGGGTCTTCGGGCCTTCTGTTTGCAGAAATATATAAAATAAATTTAATGAAAGAAAGAGCTGGGCCGGTCAGAGGGTACCAGAGAACACAATTGAATTTTTGCTACTTTAGCTCAGCAGATGCTTGTAGCACGGGTGGAATAATCTTCTCTTCTTCTTTCTTTTAACTCAAATCAGTGTCGCGCAGTTCATGCTGCTTTCAGGAAGCTGTCGCATAATTAATAAATTCAGTGCTTATAAGACTTCAAATTTGGGTTATTAAACTGTAAGAAATAACAAAATACAATAATACCCACAACTTATATACGCACCCGCGCCCCAAACCTTCCCACTTCTAACCTTATCATAAAAATACCCTGTGCGGATACCAAGGCAAAAGGAGGGGGAATTGGAAGAAATTAGGGGGAGTAACGGAGGAGAAAAGAGAGGAAAGGGGAGGGGAGGGAGGTTTCCATTTACAATTAACCGACAAATTTTCAAATGTAATTTATTGGGAGAAATGCGGACAGAAGTGATCCAGTTCTCCCCCTGTTCCTCCCTCCTCCCTCCCCCCTCCCCCTTCCTCCTTCTCACTCCCTCCCCTTCCAAAAGCTAATTTTGCTGCAACACTAAAACAAAGCTAGAAAATTTAGCTGGGCACTTTTCTATCTCAATCAGCCATCGTTAATTTTTTCGAATATTGCGCAATACATGTTCGTTGATGAAAAACAAACAGTTGGAATTGATTTAACCGAAAAACTATTGCTAAAGCTTACGGGAATGACGAAAGAAAATAAAGCACACGATTTTAACCGAACCACAGTCGTGTGCAAAGTAGAGGTTTGTTTTTCGGAATTTTGTGGAATCAGTGGTTAGTTGGAAACGAGTACGTTGAACAAACTGAAAACAGTGTATACTGCGGATGCTTTAGAAAATATGTAAACCCTAGAACTTGCATTTTTGGGTTGCTGTGTTTGTGCAAAACAGAAATCGACAAGAAGAATGCTTTGGAAGGTACGAATAGCTCATATGAATTAATAGAGCACGATAACGGAGTCTAAATTTATGAATCATAGCTCAACGAGCGGAGGGAGAAAATGCAGCGCGCGTATCCAGCCAGCGAGGGTGTAGAACCGGCCCTGCTGAAGAGCTCGTTTGACTGGGTTCTCAAACGTGCAAAACCCTAGAAAGCCCCGGGTCCCGACGGGATTCAAGCTTTCTGGTAGAAAAAGTTACCCTCGGCGAGAGCCCGGCTGCGGGAGTGAATCATAGTTCGATCCTTTTCAGAACGTGTGTTTAAAAATGGTACCCCATTCACGGCTGAAGTTTGTACAGTTTTAGAGTAAGGAAAAACGTTCTGTGCTGTTTCCTCGAGGGAGTGTGTACGAACCTAAGATAGAAGTAAAATCCATGATTTCAGGATTTCGATTTTTTGATTTAAAAGTTGCTTAATTTCTGATTCTTGGCTTTTTTGTACAGCGTGAAAAAGGGCATCGTTGGCCAAAAGACAGCTCAGTGCGAGAATGCCTTGCGCAGCGCATTGATGAGCCGTTGGTTCAGCTTTTCTCACCATCACAGGAATCCACCAAAACAACAGTGCTCGAATTGTTTGAGTAAATTTTTTTTTTTAATCTTATAAAGTAAAATATTTTTATGGAATTTTTCTGCATTAAGTAGCAGTCGCATGTTATAAAGCCCTGTGAGTTTAAAGCAACCTGCATGGTTAAAAAGCAGCCTAAAAAGCCTTGATTTATTCATTTCCTGAAAGATTTTTCGAAATCTAATGACAACCAGACCTAAGTTGTACCTCTAAGCAATATCCACTAACTTTCTCAAACTCGTAGTTTGCAGTAGCGGTTCGCGGTTGGTATCATTATTGAGTAATTTGGTTTATAACGGATTGTTTTGTAGGTTGCCAGCATTGGATCTGGTTCTTACAAGTAACCAGAA